ACTCTCCTCTCCTCTCCTCTCCTCTCCTCTCCTCTCCTCTCCTCTCCTCTCCTCTTCTCTCCTCTCCTCTCTTTTTTCAAGTAGTGGAAATAAAAACAACATTTCCTCCTTAGGTTCCTGAGAAACATCTGTTCCACAGAGGTAAACATCTGGATGCATCATCCCCAAGTTTATCTATCTTTCAAAACAAAAAAAGAATTTGCTTCAGCTTTGGCATGTCAGGTGTTAATGACTCCAGACTGCAGACAACTTATATACTAACACCACTTCTATATTAATTTTATTTGAATGAGGCATCTAATTCATTTAAATTATGTATTGTTTAAAAGCTCTGTATCTGAGAATCTCTAAGCAATTTTAATAATACTATTAACTCATCAACCCTGGGACAATGGAAGGTGCTGTGAGATATGGATCACATTACTGTTTATAGTCATGTAATCATTTAGGACTAGTAGCTCTGACTATGTGTTACATAGTATTCACTGTAGAGTTTTGCAAAAATCCTTTGTAGAAAAACTCACAAATAGATAACCTTCTGATTGCCATTTTGATTGAAAGTTCCATCTGAGACCTTGACAGCACATCCAGTAATAAGATTTTCAGAAAAAAAATCCCATCACTGGCACTGTGGGAGAGGCAAAGCATGACAGAAATCTCATCATTGTCATTCAAACAGAGATGGTAGTTACTTTGGTAGGCATAGCTTTAAACTGTGCATTTATACAGGCTTTAAACATGAATATTTAAAATGCACAAGGGAGAAAAAATGTAATAAATGTATGCACTCTGCCAATAGCCACATGCTATTTTTTTGAGTCATTGCTACCCCACCGAAGGAAAAAGACTCATTCTGCAAACGAATTCAATGTCATTTGAATATAAATCTTAGAGCAATACATAGTAGAAGTTTAAATGTGGATCACTGAGTTGTCCAATATTTGCTCCTTTCTTTGACAATGAAATTAATTCAGTGTAAAATTGTTTTGGATAACAATGGTATTTAGGGGGATTAGAATCATACCACTCTACATTTGACATCTAGATTTAGACATATTAGTAACATTCTTTTTAAGCATGTAGAATGGTAATTCATCTTCTTCAACAACTTTTAATTAGCAATTGAGTCATTGTAAGTGACAAGGAAAATGCATTAAATTAGAATTATTAATACTGATAAATTTGAGAATTTAATTCTGAAAATCTTTTACAAGTGCCAAGCGCCTTAGAGTCCCATTGATTCTGGCTTGCCTTTACCTAGCTATGCCTCACACGCATTTGTCAGAACTGCTAAAGTAAATCATCCCACACATTAAAGCTGGGATTATGCATTTTTGGCCTGGACATTGTCCAGACCAGAAATTCAGCTCAGGCATTTAAATATGGAACTGCTGTGAAGTGAACATGTACATTTTTACTAATTATAACTCAGATGACTGAAGTTCTTCAACATGTTCTGTTCTGTAAAGCAGCTGAAAGCAGATGCTATTTGTGCGCTGTGACCTTGAAAACAAATCATGGAAAGCTCATTTAGATATAATGTATTTTTTATCTGGTATCATTGATACCTTTTTGTCTATGATGAATTTGAAATGACTGTGAAATATGCAGCAGAGAAAATGGCTGAAGATTTTCATTTAAATCAGCAGTTGCTGATCACAGAAGAAGCATTTAACACTATGGCAACTCCAAATACCATCAACTGTATCTCAGCGTCGCAGTAACAATTCTCAATCTGGAGATCAGACAAAATGTCTGCAAAATAGTACGTTCTAAAAACATTTATTTGTACAGCTCGACTAGAGATAAACCTGCTGATTTTGATAGAGAAGACTAAATCAACTATATTCTATGCATGCAGTTGTATATATACCTCTGTTTGTATGGATTCTTTTTTTAATTATTACTATTTTAACTGCCTGCATTGTCATTACATGCTAGAAAGGAATAGATGGATTTTACAAAGCTTTTCCAAGATCTGTCCAGCTTTAGGAAATTGCTGTGTGCTGTGTATGTTTTTTCTTGGAATATAACCTCTGCCTTAATTGAGCTGTTTGACTGCTTCTCTCCTCCCTGCCCCTCAATTGTCTTCAGCTGTGATACCATGAATGTAATGTCAGTAAGTTCAATACGACCACATAGCTCTTCTTTTCAGCCAGTTTCAGATGATGTTCAGTAACTGGAAGCAAACAGGTAAGCCAGAGCAGTCACTTTCACAAAACTATTTTAAATCTCTCTTATTCTGTTTGAATTTTTTTAACTACAGGTGTATATTTTTATTCTGTAATACACGCAACTTGCTTTTCAGATGTAGTCACAGGGCTGTGCTGTCACTTCAGGGAGTTCAAGCACCACATTTAAAAAATATGAAAACAAAACAACCAAAACAACAACAACAAAACCCACCATGATTGGAAGCAGTACAAAGCCTGTTGTAGGAGAACTTAGAGTTCACAGTCTTGGTTACTTATACCAAAGAACTGCTTCTGTGCCTAAAATGATGCTGAAAAATCCAAAGCCAATGATGGTACTGTTTTGCTCATTGAAAGAATATACAGCAGCATCACATGTTCACAGGTATTTCTGACCAAGAGAAACGAAAGGAGGTTACTGAAAAAAATAATAATAATTTTCAGAGTTGGAGAGTTTTTTTGCAGTGGTAGGCTGCCCTGGTAAATTGAAGCTTAATAAAGAAAAAAATGTGGGACCATTCACCATTATTAGTTTTCAGAATGTAGCAGGTGTCGTTAGCAGCACAGAGTATTGATGGAGTGAACAGTAGAAGCTTTCTGTAGTCTATCATTCAGATAAGTTGGACTTGTATTATTTCTACATTTGTCCACTATTTGTGCAAGATAATATTCTGGCTTTGAAGAAGGTGGAAACCAATTTAACTTGCAGTATAATTCACTGTGATGGGTTTTGTAATCACACTGCAAAATGAGTCTAGCTGCTGCATTATACAATACTGATACTGGCTTATGT